ATGAGGTTGATGACACTGGGCATTTTGCTAATGGTGAACTTCAAAGTCCAGGAGGCATAGTCAGAGGGTTTCAGGACTTGGTTAGGGAGGAAGGGACAGAATACTGGATGTATTGGGCCTTATGAGCATTAGAATGCAAGGGATGAGAAAAGCACTTGAGATTTTGGGGCTTCTTGTGGACACTGATATGTGTAGGCACTAAGGACTTAAAAATATGAACATTGGTAGGTTCAAAATATACTGTTTTGACTCCTGGGAGCCAAAATATACTGTTTTGGCCTGTGAGCCACAGCCTGACATGGGCACACCACCACCCACCCAGGCTCCCTCAGCCACTTCCCCAGGCATGGCACAGGGAGGGCCTCACCTCACTATGACAGCAGCACGGCACGGCAAGATCAACTTCATGCTCAGTGCCAAAGCTAATGGCAAGGCAATTCTAAAAGGCTTCCAGTCTATTTTCCAGGAGCAGGGGTTGGCGGAGCTGGTGCATACCTGGCAGGACCGTGGCTATTCAGCAACCTACACAAATGGAAACACAAAAACAGCATCTTTGCTAATTTGAGAATTTGCCCACATGGATTGGTGTTGCTGGACCTTCAGAGTTACAATGATGACTCGCAGGGCAAAGAAGAAACCGTCAGTCTTTCGGACAAAGTAGAAAAAAGAATGAAAGAATTGAGTCAAGACAGTACTGGGCTGGTGAAGTGATTACCACCCATAGTTTGAAGAGGGGCCATCAACAGACATTGGTCCACTGCCAATGGGCGCCTGGTTGAATATGACATAGATGAAGAGGTGTACAATAAAGATTCACCTTTTTGGAACATTAAAATTTGACACTAGAAGCAATTTGGAAATATTCACATCCTTAGTGGAGATGTTAATTTTGCAGTGATTTGGCATATACCCGGCCCATCATGGGCAGCAGCGAAGAAGAGTACACTCGGAAAGACGTACTGATTGATTCTCAGAAGCTCTGATGGGGACTTGTGTGAAATGGTCAAACTAAAATCAAAGATGGTCACTATGGTAGAGATTGACGTAATGGTGACTGACGGATGTAAGAAATATATGCAAAAAACGTGTGGTGATGTCATAGACAATCTTAAAGGAGACTGCTATCAGGTTCTGAGAGAAGACTGTATTCCAATACCGAAGAGGCACACCGAGGAAGGGAGAGAATTTGATTATATGACTAATGATTTGACAGCTGTTCCAATCTCCATATCTCTGGAACAAGATTCCACGTGGAAGTTTCTCAGACTGATTCTTGACCCCTCAATGAACATATCGAAACAGAATAGGAAATATTTTACACAGGGAAATTGTGTCAATCTGACAGGAGCCCTGCCACTCTATGAAGAACAGCTCGGGTGTCCGTATTGCCTTGTGGAATTCTCAAAGGAGATAGTCTGTGTCCCTTCAAACTTTGAATTGTGGGTATTATACCCTGTCTGGAAGAAAGCTAAACCTTAAAGATGAATATCCTCTAATCAGATGTGCTGCAAATAGCCTTTTTGGACCTCCATATGCTGTATATGACATTGAAACAAGTCAGGCAATTGATTGTGAATTCCTTGAAGTTTTCTTTTTTAATTATTATTTTTAATTTTAAAAAGCAAATGGCAGGCCAGGTGCAGTGGCTCACGCCTGTAATCCCAGCACTTTGGGAGGCTGAGGTGGGCAGATCACCTGAGGTCAGGAGTTCGAGACTAGCCTGGTCAATATGGGGAAACCCTGTCTCTACTAAAAATACAAAAAATAGCTGGACATGGTGGTGGCCGCCTGTAATCCCAGCTACTCGAGAGGCTGAGGCAGGAGAATCATTTGAACCCAGAAGGCAGAGGTTGCAGTGAGCTGAGATCCTGCCATTGCACTCCAGCCTGGGCAACAGAGTGAGACTTCGTCTCCAAAAAAAAGCAAATGGCAAATGTATATTTTGATGAGCTGAGGGTGTTATTTTTTGAAAGTCAGCTGAAAGATGGATGGACAGCACAGCAAAGACTGCCAGATGCACTAACCCCCTAGAATGTGATTTTTGTTACTTTTTGTTTCCCCGTGGGCTTATTTTGTTTTGGTTGTGGTAGACTTTCAATTTGGATATTTGGAAGAATGAACATCATTGTTTTGTCCAAAGGGACGTTCTTGATAGTGTTTCTTTCCCCCAAAATGGACTTTGATATTAAAATTTGGTGCTTATAAGAATTTTTTTTTAAAAAAATAAATAGTAATACTTCAATTAAAATGACAAAAGAGACAAAAAATAGTGTTGAGTGTTGTGGAAGCTGAGTGTTGGGGTAAGAAGGGTAGGTGTCTGCATTTTGCTATAGACGCCTGATGATGGTGAGGAGAAGCAGAGAGGTGCGGACTTGGTCTGAGAATATGGGGCTCTCTTCAGACCTCTGCTGTGAAGCCAGGTGTACCTCTGACTTTCCGGGGCATCTTACAAAACCAGTGTTCTCCAAAGCACAGCCTTTGGCAAACCTTGCTCCAACTACTAAAAGAGGAAGAGCAACTAACATTTATTGTATACCCATGATGTTCTAGGCACATGCTTCTTGTGTAAATACAATCACTATAGCATCTGTACTTAGTGTGAATTATTTTGTCAAAACTACTTTGCAGATGCAAAAACAGACCTCTCTTACTCCTTACATGTCTTTCATTGCTTGTTTTTTAGCATCACAAGAAGACATTGCATTGAAGAAGAAAACTCCTATGTGTAGGAGGGCAATGACTTTAGAGCACTGGGATTCTGTGGGGACAGGGCAGGTGTACCCACTTTTCCTCCATCCGCTTCTACAAGACAAGTGTTTTCAGAAGATAGAAAACATTTCCTTATAATGAAGGTGTGAATAAGACTAGTCTGAGTGCTGGATCCAAGGGGCCTGGGGCCAAGGTGTGTGCCAGGCAGGACCCTAGAACAGAACTGCTTTAGAGGGCAAGTCCAGGAACCATGGCACAACATCATCATGACAAAGTGTTTCCTGTGGTCCACATACAACGTTAAAATAGCCTTTTCCAGTACAACCTGGTCTTAAATGGGATGTTTCCTTCAAACACACAATCAGAAGCACACAAAAAAGGAAATGTTACCTTCAAATGCATCAAGACAAGAAAATCCAGTGGTAGAAAAATCAATCCACTTTTAAAAATATCTTCCACAGACAACATAGGAGAATGATTTAAGGAAGACAAGCATAGCATAAAGCACACTGATTGTTTTTAAGGTTTGTTTCATGGTTTTCTGAACTTCTGTAACTTGGAGAAACAATCCATTATTCTGCAACAGTTTGGGAGAGGTTCTCAAAAAGGTACCCATGTGAGAACTCTGTGAAATGCCAGCACATTTTGCAGTTGGAAGCTCAAATTTTTATAAATAACGTGTGGGAAATCCAGATAAGATTTGTTATTTTTTAATTTCACAATTGTATTTCCAATGCAGGATTCATAGGCACTTCCTTGTCATAGTAGCAGCACCTTAATTGTTGCCTAAATGATTATTTAAATTCTTTAACTATTTAAATAATTATTTTATTAAGAAGAATCCATGAAATGAAAATGAGCACTTCACTAATTTTAATGTTGCCTGACCATCTCACAGCACCTCCTACGGTCACAGACAGCAAAGCCTCTCACCAGAACAAGAATGACCAGCTCGGGAAGTGCAGGCTCAACAGGACATGAGAATCTTTAAGTTCTAGAGTGTCTGAACCAGAGAGGAGGGAAAATGAAAGGCCAAGAGTTGTCTCCATTTTCTTCTCTTCACTGTATCCTGCATAGTGGCACAAATCAAATTGGAAAGCCAAGTTATAACAACACCGCCCTGGGCACACCGCCTGGTCCCACAGGATCCTCTGGGCAGGAGGCTCCAGCCTGGGGGTGCCTGATGGCTCTCCTTCCCGGGCGCCTGTATTATACATGTAGCACTTATATTTCTATCCACACAGCATTCATTCAGCCATCCGTCCAATCACCTATTTACACAGATGGAACACATTCGCGGAGAGATGTGTGTGTTTAAGCTCCAACCACTGCAGCCCGTACTGGTGCTGAGCTTTGTCTCGCTTTGGGTCCCCACCACAGGAGCAACGATTTTGGAGAAGGCACACGCCTGTGTGACTGCTTCCCACTCCACATGGGTTCCGTGAGTGCGTGGAGCTAGAGGAGTCAGGGACGTGGGAATGCCCTGTGTCCCGCAGGATCTGGATGGCAGGGTCTACATCGAAAGGCCCGGGAGGGTGACGCCCTCCGATGCTGTTGCAGGGTGGGTGCGCCAGGCTTGGGTGTGGCAATCTCTCTCTCTCTCTCTCTCTCTCTCTCTCTCTCTCTCACACACACACACACACACACACACACACACACACACTCGGTTGTTCTCCCTAAGGGGCCACTGTCAATGTCTTCCTGTGAGCCCAGCTGTCTGTCCCTGCCTAGCACCGGGAAGACACTGGACTTAACCCAGCGAAGTTTTCTTCCATTTGTTCTTGCTGTGCCTAAGTTCCCTCTGGACTTGCCTGCCAGCGTCGGGGTGGGGGTTGGGGGAAATGGGCAACCTAGCTCTGCCTGGTTGCTCCATGGAAGCCAAGACAAAGTGAGCAAGTCAGTCCCAGGCCCAGAAATAGAATACAACCCTCTTTGGCCCGGTGCTAACAGAGCCCAGCAGTCAGAATTCCCTTGCGTCTGGCTGGACCTGACCCGGGGCGCCGCCAAGTGCGCAACGCACAGTCATAGTCGATGACTAATGGAGCATCGGCGCCCCTCTCCTTCACCTGCTACAAACTCGGAGCCCTGACTTCTCCAGAAGTACCTACCATTTGAAGGCGGCTCTGCCTCCCTGCCCCCCGCCCCCGTCCCCCGCCCCAGGCCCGCACCGCAGCAGCGCCTCAGCACCGCGACTTCCCCGAGCACCGCGAGTGGTGCGCCGCGCCCGCCTCCCCCGCGCGCCGTGACTCCCTGCGCACCGCTCGTACTCTCGCCACGCCGCCGCCCGGCACTGCAGCACCGGGGGGAGGAGGCTGGCGGAGGAGGGGAGGAGGACCGCAGCGTGCAAGCCGGGAGCCACTTTCCCGCCCCTCCTCTAGCCGCCGACACGCTCAGAGGAGTCACCACTCCGCGCGCTGCAGGAGAGAGTGGCAGACGGAGGCAGCCCGGGGAAGCGAGCCGGAGCGGCGCCCGCACGGAGGCGGCTGCAGTGCTGACACCACTCAGAGCAAGGGTCTCCGACGGCTGGAGCGGTGAGTCGGGGCGGCGAGGCGGGCATCCGCGGGGAGACTTTCCCCCACTGCTGGATTTCTCTTCCCGACTGGTGGCCGGGCGCTGCAGCCTGGGGAAGTTTTTGCTGCCTTTCAGAAGCGCAACTTTGCCCCGACTGCCCCCGGAGAAGCGGCTGCAGGTGCCCGCTGCTGGGTAGGCGCCTTTGTTGGAGAGGGACCGGGAAAGTCGGGGTACAATAGATACAGTGACTCCTGGTTCGATAGGGTAGGTCTTGGGACTGGGTCACACTTTATCCCAGATTTCCAGGGGAGGTGGGTGGGCAGCAGCGGGGATGCAGGGGCGCGTCTGCAGGGATCGCCAGGCTCTTTTTTGCTTGTGTGGTTCGACGAGAAGGCGTAGGTAGATTCACATCCGGCATCCTGGAGCCCCGGGCTGGGTACTGGGACCTGTACCTTCATAGCAGCCTTAGGTTCAACTTTTCGTGCGGGTGGCGGGAGAGCAGAGGCAGCCGCAATAAGTGCTGAGGGAGCCTGAAAGAAACATCATGAATGTTCAAACTCTCCCACATGCATTCCCGAAGCGCCTGTGTAGTCTAAGCGGGAGCTAGAGAGGGCTGGAGAGCAGGGGTGCCCGCGGGGCTGAGGCTCTTTGTCAGCGCCTGCACTTCTACACAACGCCTTCATTCAGCAAAAACCCATTGGGCGCCTACTGTGCGCCAGGCGAGGCGCAGCCGACCGAAGGCTGTGAAGCCCGGAGGGGAGAAGGATCGTTCCCGGTAAATAAGCTACCGAGGTGATCTCAGATGGCGCTGAGAGCAGTGCAGGCCATCAGCCGACCCTTTTTCTCTGACTCTTTCTTTAGTGGGCTTTTTCCCCTCCGCCTGGGTTCTAGAACTGGGAAGACTTTCCTCCAGAGCTTCGCGGGGAGCGCCCCGGGCTGGGCCCAGAGGGACTGCGGAATCCAGGGATGAACTTGGCTTGGGGCAGCCAGCACCCCGTGGCAGATGAATAATCGGGAGATCAGTGGGCGTGCGGGGACCTTCGGCGGCGCGCGGGGGCGGAGGGGGAGGGGCTGAGTCACAGGGGCTGGAGGTGCCGCCCGGACGGCCTGAGCTGGGGGCGCTCGCGTCACCCGCTACGTGTGCGAGTGATGCAAATGCAGACCCGCGAGGGGCGGGCGGGGGTGGCGGGTGGAGGCAGGCGGCGGAGTCTCCGTCTGGGAACGCGCAAGTGTGCGTCAAAGGCTCTCGGTTGATGGATGCCCCGCGGCGCGCTCGGCGTGGACTGTGGCGACCCGGCGGGGCTGCGGGGGCCCGGCGGATTGCGGCGCAGCGGGGCGGCGAGGAAAGCCCCGCACGGCCCAGGCGGGCAGGCGGCTCCGCAGTGCGCCGCAGCGCCGGGAAGGCGCCGCAGCAACCGGGCGTTCCCCGGGGAACCGAGGGGATGGGGAGCCTTTTAAGGCTCCAAGACAGGGATGCCCTGATGGTCTCCTCTCCTGCTGAAACTACTCCCTTCATACTTAGCTGATAGCGCGGTAGTTTCCGTTTAATTCTTATCCTTAATTCTGAAGAATGTGGCACTAATCTCTTAGGCGTTCACTCATTTTCTATGGCAACTTAGGAAAGGCCTCGTGCTCGTGGCAAGTTTTCATGTGAACGCCTAGGTATTGAGGTTCGTGAGGTTCTATAATGCCAACCCATTGCGCCACGATTTTTGGCAGGAGACCTGGCCTCTAAGTGGGGTTGAAGAATGTCTTACAAAACAATATGTCGCATTCCTCCTTCACGGCATAAAAACACGCGTTAAAAACACCACTGATAATGCATTCTCCGGTGGAAAATAGTAAACCGAATCCACGATCCGGATCCATTCTATTCTTATTTTAAAGGCAACTTTCTGGAAACCCAATGACAAAGTTTTTCTACTGGCTTTACTGAAGGAGCCCAAATCTGCAGTATATAGGCAAAATGAATGAAAGGGGGCTGGGCTGGGAAAGAAGAAAGAAAGGGAGGGAGGAAGAAAAGCAGTTATCAAGGAACCCAGAGAAACAGATGCCCGTCACCATTTTCTTAAATATTGTGTTATGTCACCTTGTGCAGGCTACTCAGCCTCTTGGGTTTATCTTCCACCTTTGAGAAATGTGAAAAATAGCTTATACTAGCTCTTATGTACCTTACAGGGTTGTTTTGAAGACAAAAGAGGTAATCTAAGAGAGCTTTGGCTTTGGAAATACAAATTCTCTATGAATGGAAAATATTAGCAAACAAGGCCCCTACACACACACACACACACACACACACACACACACACACAATTTTCTGTTTTAAAAAATTCTATAGACTTTTCCCAGCATTGTTTCTTTAATAAAATTTGGACCTCAATGTCAGGAAATGCAGACAATAGACTTTTCCTAACAGTCTAATATGCAATCTAATGCCATTAGCTGCTGACTGTCTGGAGAAAGAAAAAAAAAAAGAACCTCTGGATCACATTTGAGTGTTTTGTTGATGTGGTGGAGAAATCAGATTTATTTTTCATGACTCAATGACAGTGAAACTAGGTTCTCTGATCTGAGAAGCAGACTGGCCTAAGAACTTGTAGTAAAAACCCTATTCATTATTAACCCTATCATATTCCTTAATTGTGGAAATGCTTCAAGTAATAGGATGCAGTTCCCAATCTCCAGGCGATTACAGCAAAAGCATCATAATGTGCAATATATCACATGAGGACAAGTACCAGAAAACCCATTTCCTATAATTAGGAGTGTTAAGCAAACTTGATGACATATTGTATGAATAAAAGCATGTAATTTGTCAAAATGCCTCCTTAACCAGCCCACTGTTGTTATTCATATTACTCCATATAATGGTAGATTTCTGTGAGTAGTGAAAGCAAAATGCCTCATTCTGTGCTGCTATATCAGGGGAAAACCTACAATTCACCAGCGTACTTCTTGGTCCCATGCTGGTGAGGTTCCTGTTTGACTGTGGTTCACAGCATGCATATTATTCTCCATTTAAACACAAACTCATCATTTCAATGAAGTCTATTTGTAAACCCAGGAAAGGCACCCCTGGCAGGTGTTATGTAGTTTTGATGCAACACTGCCACATTGTTTTTGCTTTTGTTTTGCTTTTTCAGTCTCTGCACAGTTGAGCAACCAGTGTAAAATGTTGCAGTGGTTTGAATTTGGAGACTGTTTCTTTATTTGAGACAGCTGAGAATAACAATGGGAATGAAGCTACTATTTTAATTTTTGCTGGAAATATGCCTTAATGGAATATTGAGACACATTTTATTTTACACAAACAACCCCTCCTAATTAAGGACAGCAGTAGTATTTGCATTTTAGGATGGCTTCCCCATTGAGTAGAATTGAACAAAATGACATAAATGGACAGGATGGATTGGATGGTTGGGTCCTTTCTAGTTCTAATATTCTTTCTCTCCAGGAAACAGAGAAATATGTGATGAGTTATGTTTTAAGTTTGAACTTTGCTTATAAGTAGTATAGAAAAAGTGTTTTGTTTTTTTTTTAATTAGCTCATGTTGAAATTTTACATGAAGCTACAGGCTCTGTTTTTGTAGATAAATGGTCTATTAGATTTTGTATTATGTCATTAGACATGAATTAAAACAATTTTAGGGATCAAATTTGAAAAATAATTCCTGTTTAATATAAAGAAGATAGATAAATTTGATATGACATTTAAAACATTTTCTGTTGACGACCTAATGCACGATATGCTTGCTAAATCTTTTCCCAGAGATAGTATATAGTACAAATGATTAAGACTGGATGCTGTCAGTTGGGCTTCAGTCTTCTGACGGCCTTGAACTGTCTTATATGTCAAGAGTACAGTGAGGTTTATGACAAGTGAAACAAGAGCTTTCTCTTGTTTTCTGCTATTTGGAAATCCTATGAATTAGAATCCTAGAGTAGCCAATAGACCAGTGATTCTCAAATAGTTGTATATATCATACTTTCTTGGGGAGCTTTTTTAAGTCAGAATTTCTGAGCCCCATTCTAGACATTCTAAGTTAATGGTTCCATGGTTGAGACCAGGATGTGCTGTTTATCAAGCTGTGCTGAGTGAGTTAGATGTTATCACTAGGGAAACCACATGTGCAGATGCACTTGAATTAGTACTAAATGGCTTAACAAGAACCTAGAGTGCATGGACTTTCTAAGCTATGTTTTCCCCTTTAATATTGACCAAGTACCTGCTGGAAGCCCTCAGTGAAATACCATTCTGTTTGGCAAGACAGACGTAAAGAGGACTAACTTCTTTGGTAAAAGTCATAGGAGTGAGTGACATGGGTGGTTGGGAACAACTTCATGGAGACAGTTATATATTTGGTGTCAAAGAAAGGAGGGGCATTTACGGAAGGAACATTGTAATGACAGGTCAGTTTAATGCAATAAAGACTGAAAACCTTTGCATGGCCTTCAGTGCCCTAGGTGGTCTGGCCTCTGCTCACTTCTGCAGCCTCATTTTACATAAGCCCCAAACCACATCCATCCCCAGCAAACTTTAATCATCAGTCTCCTTCGGCAACCTGCGCCAACTTATCTCTACCACGTTAACTCATTATGCTCTTCAGATTTCAGTCTAGCTTCTAAGCCTCTGTTGTGAGGTTACTTTTTTTTTTGAGACGGAGTTTTGCTGTTGTTGCCCAGGCTGGAGTGCAATGGCGCGATCTCGGCTCACCGCAACCTCCACCTCCTGGGTTCAAGCAATTCTCCTGCCTCAGCCTCCTGAGTAGCTGGGATTACAGGCATGCACCACCATGCCCAGCTAATTTTTTGTATTTTTAGTAGAGACGGAGTTTCACCATGTTGACCAGGATGGTCTCGATCTCTTGACCTCGTGATCCACCCGCCTCGGCCTCCCAAAGTGCTGGGATTACAGGCTTGAGCCACCGCGCCCGGCCCTGTGAGGTTACTTTAATACAGTGTACTTTTCCTCATAAAGTTGTCAGAGAAAATGTAATATTCTCAGTTAAATTCGAATTTAGATAAACAATAAAATATTTTTAACATAAATTATCTCAAATATTGGATAGGACATTGCCCTAGTCTGTTCCAGCTGCTATAACAAAATATTTTAGACTGGGTAATTCATAAACAATGGAAATGTATTTCTCACAATTCTGGAGGCTGGGAATTCCAAGATCAAGCCCTCAGAA